TTTCTTTTTTTTTTCTTTTTGGCTATATGGGGTTGGATAGTGGCACTCAGTCTCAAATTTTATTGTTTTGAACCCTTTCCCGTGCTAAGTGATTTTGGATTTTGGACTTGTTGCTTATAGATTAGTTCCCCTTGTAGTTAACCACTTAATAGTTGTCAGAACTGGGCTGATGGGTCATGTGTCGTGCACAGCAAGATGTGTTGGTCGAGTCAAGTAGTGTCTGAGGTGTTGATTTAGAATATGGAACGATCACAATGGATCCTGTGGATGTTCCATTAAGATGACTCAATTAGCAGTAGCTGGCTAGCAGTTGTTCATATAATGGTTAAAATGACAGATAAAAGTAATGCACAGATTGCTTGAAATAGAAATTATCCATTCACAAAGGATCATCCAATTTGGTTTTATACTTACGCCCTGTTTATAGAGTCACAACTGCCTCTATATCTATTCTCGCGACAAAAATGGAGAAAAGCATATAGAAGAAAACAAAGACTACATGGCACTGACAGTGCTTGGCAATATTAACTATTTAGTGCTTTGATTGACTGCAGTGTGAAACTATGAGTTGCCTTTGTAGTGCCATGACTTATTGATTAAACATAAGAAGCATTACAATCTTCAAGCAAGAGATGCTTGACACAGTCTGGAGCCTCAGCTAACCAAACAGCACTACTGCCGTAGTGTATAATAGCATGCTGAGCTAGCTCATGTGCTACCTTATTTTGGTCTCTCTTAACCTTTGCTACACAAACCCCACCCAGTAAACTCATCAACTCATTTGCATCACTTATGCAGCCAGAATTACAAGACCAATAAATACAACTCATTTGCATCACTTATGCAGCCAGAATTACAAGACCAATAAATACTTGGTTTGCAACGACTGATAAGCTAAGGTGCCTTCTACACAAGCTGCAAATCCGGTTTCTTCCAGCATTGAGCAATTTACTGGCCATGCCAGGAAGATAACTGAGTATTGCCTGCACTATCTCTAATCACAAATCCTTCACCAGCTCGCCCAATGACAGCCATGAAACCGCCATTCACATTTAACTTCAAATAACTAGGATCAGGGGGTCCCCATCTTTCCGAAGGGTTGGGAGTCTGTATCTTTGCCTTTAGTTTTAAATTCTCCCCAAAATCAAAATTTTCCTTTCCTGTCTTTCCCTTCTTGTTCACATATTTACATTAGCAAGTTATGCATTGCTTCCAACAATCTTATAGCACCCTCTAAATTAATTCCCCTTTTCCATGAGTAATATCATTTCTTACATTCCCGCAAAAAAAATCATTTCTTACATTCCAATTCTTCCAAAACACAAACATTAATTAGCTTTTTCATCGACAGATATTCTATCCATTAATAATAAGAACCAATCTGGACCAGAGGTTTCATCCTTTGGCAAAGTCTAGTGCTACCGCATACCACGTAGTAAATGTTCTAGAGTGGGGACAATTAACCACTGCATGATAAGTTATCCTCCATAGCATCCTCCATAACACTGCCAGAGAAAGTATTAGTAGCCACGGTGTTCATCACAAGCCAACCTCCATGCAAAATTTTAACCTTCGGTGGTACCTCAGCTTGCCAATTATATTTGTAGGAAGGTCTGTCCCTTCTTAAACTACTAACTGTATGCACTTTTGACTGAAAAGATACCTGTTTTCTCAAAATGCCATGCCACTACATCATCGACTGGCCTCTTGTGGATCCTTATCTTAAGAATTTCTTCAGCATCAATTGGCAAGAACTCCTAATTAATCACATTAGGTAACCATTCACAACTAGTAGGGTCTATAAGATTCGAAACTACATTAGGTAGCCATTCACAACTAGTAGAGTCTATAAGATTCGAAACTATTCTTACTGTTGAACACCGCTGGCGAGTAATCAAATTCAGGAAGTGTTCTTGTGTTATCCAGTTATCCAGCCACACCCTAACCATCTCTCCTGAACCAATCCTCATAATAATGCCCTTTTTAAGCAATTGCACTGTTCAATACTCCCTCCGTTTCACAATGTAAGACATTCTAGTATTTCCCACATTCATATTGATATTAATGAATCTAGACATATATATCTATCTAGATTCATTAACATCAATATTTCTAGTGAAAATACTAGAATGACTTACATTGTGAAACGGAGGGAGTAGCTCTCTAGGTGAGAATGCATTGCCAGCAAAAACTGTATCAACAGGTTACCTGATGGAAAGTATTTCACTTCAGAAGCATTGCAGTAAACTATCTAGACAGAAAACTCGGCATGCTTGCCGAGAGGATAGAGTTTGGTTGAAAAGCTGCTATCTCTCAAACTTAAGCCTCCCACACCGTTGGACAATAACATATTCTCCCAAGAGCACCAGTGCGCTCTTATTTTACCATTTTCTGCTCCCCACCAATATTATCTTTACCATGTTCTGCTCCCCACCAATATTATCGTGTCATTTGCATGAACTCCTCTTGTAACGATGCTGGCAATTTGAAAATCCTCATCGTGTAGGTAGACAAGGCTTGAATAATAGATTTAATGAAAAGTTTCTTACCTGCCACTGATAAGTTACCTTCCACTCCTCAGCTAATCTTTTCCACAAATGTGCCTGAAGGCTACATACTACTGACAGTGGTTGGCAATATTAAGTATTTTGTACTTCGATTGACTCTAGTGTGAAACTGAGTTTCCTTTGTAGTGCCATGATAAATTTGATATGACTGTATTCGGTCAACAGTATCAAACAATGGCTTAGCAATAACATTTTTGGTGGGAGCATGTAAGAGCAATATTAGTTTTAAGTGAAAATTATGTGCCCGTTAATTCATTGCGATACCATATCTAATTGGTATGTAAGGTGACCACGAGGCCGCCGCACGCGAACCGGTTGATCTGCACCAGCAGCACATGCGGCGTCGGCGCGTCCGTGTTGACCGGCGGGTGGAGGCGCGCGAGCTCCGGCGACGGCGCGAGCGGGAGGTGGTCAGCGAGCTCGGACGACACCTCGGCCTCCACGACGAGTGCGCCGGCGCCACCTCTGCCCGTGACGAAGAACGGGCGGCGACGGGCGCCGCGGCGCTCGAGGCGCGCGGTGAGGAGCGGGAAGTGCGGGAGCATGGCGGAGAGAGCGTCGAGGAGGGCGCGGGTGGTCGGGTTGGGAGGCGAGAAGGCGAAGAGGACGGTGACGTGGTACGTCGGCGCGACGAGGTCGAACACGGTAAGCGGCACCTCCTCCGTCTCGCATGTCGGCGGCGGCGGCACGACCAAAGTCCTCTTGACCTGCACTTCCATTGTATCAATCTGGTTAGACAGATAGATAAACGATGCTCTTGAGTGATGAATGGATGGTGGCAATGGTTCATGTATATATAGCATGGCCGGTGCCGCTTGTGTACATGTATTGTATAGAGTATGTCACTAGGAGTGGATTTTGATTGCTCGAGGGGCCCTCGTTATTTGCGTATTACTCAAATGGTTATAAAAAAGTTTTAAAAAAATAAGAAGATGTGTTATTATGTGATGTATCAAGATAGTTTCCCTCGAGAGAATATTTGTAGAGTGATGTATCACATAATAACACATCTTCTTATTTTTTTTAAATTCAACTTCTACATCTCATAGAAGAAAGACGAGCGGACATTCTCTCGAGGGATCGAGATAGTTTCCCGTATGTCACTGGCTCAGCTGTCTTGCGATTAACATTTGAAGTGTGTACGTGTCAATCCGTTGAGGCATGCAATGCTTGATTTGTTGGGCTGCCAGGAATTCAACCGTGCATACGTGCGATGGGTCTTAGTTGTACGGGAGACAAAAATACCTACTACGAGTACTAGGAACCGGACGTATATACGTTCAGATGAAGCAGGTATACGTAGACAGTGATCAAGATTGCGTGGATTACTCCGACTCCGATCGAATCCGAGTCCTAATCAATCTCGTTGTCCCTCACATCGTCGACTATAATAAAAATCTGGTACTCATCCAGTTGTTGCAACAACGCAAAAGCTGGTCTGACTGCTGCAGGCGATGGATCCGCCGGCTCGCAGATTGATGGATTCTCGGGCGGCGCAGTTGGCGGCGCCACTTCCTGATCCATACTCGGCAGAAACATTTGAAGACCTACTCCGAGAATTGGGAGTCGACCCTAGTATCCACACCATAGTCCGTAGCGCCGGGAGATGGATGGATCCGGCAGCGGCAGCAGCACGAGTTCCAGTGAGATTCCACCGCACGCTCCAACGCCTAGGAATCGACCCCAATAGCGATGCCCGGAGCATCCGCGACATGCTACAAGAGTTCTATCGAGTGGTGTACCATGGAGAGGTGTACTGGGCTGGCCGAGTCATCAGGCCTCGTCCTTCGTCCATGCCAACGCCCGTGATAGGACGACGTCGCCGCGCCGCCGACGGGGATGCCCCGATGCAGCCGCCGAGCAAGTACGCTCGAGTACACGCCGTGTCGCGCGATGTCCTCCTGGGCCTCGCGCTGACGAAGGCGTGCGACGCGAGGCAGGAGGAGTGCGCCGTGTGCCTCAGCGACTTCGAGGAGAAAGACAGGCTGAGGACGATGCCGTGTAACCACTCCTTCCACGAGAACTGCCTCTTCCGTTGGCTCAGGGATAGCTGCCTCTGCCCTCTCTGCCGCTACGCGCTGCCCAAGCAGCAGCAGGTTCAAAGCTGCTGATGATGCTATTTATGTTTCGGTTCACCAACAGATCCGTTTGTAACTTGTAAGCATATTGCCATCGATGTAGAAGTAGAATCATGTTCTCATCGATGTATAGCAGGGCAGTTCATCATCAGAAGGTTCCTAATTAAAACATTTCTTATCCTCCACTGGATTTAACTAGTATTGCCTGCAACGCAAGGCCCTGTCTTGGCTAACAAGCCGAAACAACTTGCCACTCATGTGCCTAGCTATCCCTATCATGGCCAGGCACACGGTTCTTCACAATATATAATTTAAGAATTGCCTTGATCTTCAAAGTAATTAATTAGTGGATTGATAGAAGTTCAATCGACTTGACATTGCAATTATAAATTGCTTTGGAGATCCAGTGTCCCAGTATATAATGCCAGATGAACACTCCTCTTGCCTCCATCCACAGGTCAACCTGCAGGCAACCCAGCTTGCTACCAAGTCGATCAATGGCAATGGACACTTACTACTATTCCATGCTCTTCGTCCTCCCTCCGATACTCTACATGTCCTACCACCTCACCAGAATCCTCGCCGACAAGAAGAAGCCCACCACCCATGGCCTCAAGGCGCACCCGCTGCTCGGCCACCTCCCGGCGTTCGTCAACAACAGCCACCGCTTCCTCGACTGGACGACGGAGCTCATCGTCGGCAGCCCGGAGATGAGGATGGGCTTCTGGATCCCCGGGATGCGCACCGGCATCATCACCGGCAACCCGGCCGACGTCGAGCACATCCTGCGCACCAACTTCGCCAACTATCCCAAGGGCGAGCACGCCATTGGCATGCTCGAGGACTTCCTCGGCCACGGCCTCTTCAACTCCGACGGCGAGCAGTGGCTCTGGCAGCGCAAGAACGCCAGCTACGAGTTCAGCAACCGCTCCCTGCGCAGGTTCGTCGTCGACGTCGTGCAGGCCGAGATCGCCGACCGCTTCCTCCCGCTGCTCCGCCGCGCCGCCGGTGATGGTGGTGGCGATGGCGATGTCGTCGTCCTCGACTTGCAGGAGGTGCTCCAGCGATTCGGGTTTGATACCATCTGTATGGTGGCGTTCGGGCACGACCCGCGGTGCCTCGCCGACGGCGGGGTCATGGAGGATGCCAGGTCGGAGTTCATGCACACCTTCGGCGAGGCGCAGGACCTCGTCGTCGGCCGCTTCTTCGATCCCATCGAGGTCTCCTGGAAGATCAAGAAGTGGCTCAACGTCGACACCGAGCGCCGCCTCAGGAAGGCCATCGCCGACGTCCACGCCTTTGCCATGGACATCGTCCGCGCCCGGCGCCAGAGCGCGTCCGTGAACGACAGAGACGACGTCCTGTCGAGGTTCGTGGCGAGCGACGAGCACAGCGACGAGGTCCTCCGCGACATCGTCCTCAGCTTCCTCATCGCCGGCCGCGAGACGACGGCGTCGGGGCTGAGCTGGTTCTTCTGGTTCTTGTCGTCCCGGCCCGACGTCGTGGCGCGCATCGCCGACGAGGTCCGCGCGGTGAGGGAGGCGACCGGCACGCGCCCCGGCGAGCCGTTCCGGTTCGACGCGCTCCGGGAGATGCACTACCTCCACGCCGCGCTCACCGAGTCGATGCGGCTGTACCCGCCGGCGCCGATCGACTCGCAGTCGTGCGCGGCGGACGACACGCTCCCCGACGGCACGCTCCTCCGCGCCGGCTGGTCCGTGACGTACAGCGCGTACGCCATGGGGCGTCTCGCCGCCATCTGGGGCGAGGACTGCTTGGAGTACAGGCCGGAGCGGTGGCTCGGCGACGACGGCGCGTTCCAGCCGGCGAGCCCGTTCCGGTTCACGGTGTTCCACGCGGGGCCGAGGATGTGCCTCGGGAAGGAGATGGCGTACGTGCAGATGAAGTCCATAGTTGCAAACGTGCTTGAGGAGTTCGAGGTCGACGTGGTCAAGGACGTCGCCGGCGGCGGCGTGCCGGAGCACGTGCTCTCGGTGACGCTGAGGATGAAGGGTGGACTACCTGTGAAGATTAGGAGAAAGACTGAAGCTTACTAGAGAAGGCCACAAGGGAACTTTGCCGCTGAATGGTATAATTAGTTAAGCTTCAAGTTTTGCTCTTTTCGTTTTGAGCTTATGGGTTAAGAATAACGTTTGTGATTTGGTTGTTTTGCCCATTTTCCATTTCCTACTAGACTACAGCGGCAGAAAAATGATTTGCCCTGGGTTGAATTGATGCCAGTTAATCAATAAAAGGATGGCGTATCACTGTATTGTACAAATTTAACAAGTTGAAGTCAGCCATGTAAGACACAAATAGACCTATTTAAGTAACTATTTGACCAACTTTCAGGTGTTGTTCTTACTGCCAAATGAATACTGTAAGCGCATTACCGATGAACTAATGATACATTTGAGCAGATTTCTGCGGAAAACTAATGATACACTTGAGCAGATTTGTGCAGAAAACTAATGATACACTTGAGCAGATTTGTGCAGAAAATACACAAAATACTGAGACATGGGACTCCTATAGTGGATAGTGATGATGCAGCACCCAAAATGTCGGTCATGGCCATAAAAAAAAAAGTTTGTCATGGCATTTTTCTAGATGAGCAAAACGGCAAGATTTCCAGATTTGTCATGACTATGTACCCACGAGAGTTTGTACATGTAAAATTACGTGTAAGCTATACAAAGTCCTGCACTCCTACACCTAAAGCTAAAAGAAACTACCTGCATACTTACTGAGTGATGGTCTGACGGAGGGTGTTGTGATCTGCAAGTCTGCAACCGTCACCTATACTGAATGATAGAAGGACAAGAAAATTCTAAATCACGTACTGATCTAGCTGCAGTTGCTACAACGGTCCTGCGCTTAAGCGACATTGCAGTCTGATTTACACCTGCGCATCCTGCCAAATAATCTTGCTTGCAGTGTCACAATAGCACCAACTGTAGTTGAGCGGCCATTGGAGACACTAACCATGGAAAAGTCATAGGGTTAAATAAATTCACCTGCAAAGCAGCAAGAAGTTATTTATTTTTCAGTAAGAATCTCATAAGCATTGTTTCTGCCTGACAGGCAACTAAAGTGCAAGCACGAAAGCTCTATACCAGTACCAATTCGAAGTTTCATAAGTCTTGCATTTATTGATATGTTACTGAAGAATTGAACAGAATTCATAAGATGAAAAAAAAAAATCAATGTCGACAGATGACTTCAGTTACATGTTAATGATTACTGCAAGATAAAAACATACTATAATTTAGTTACTAACGACCTTGAGAGAACAACAGAAAATATTAATGCAGACACCGCATCAACATGGACAAGAAACTAATGCAACATTTTCCTTTCACATGTAATTCCAAACGAATGATGCCAATGAATTGTGAATGAGAAGATAATTATGTTTACAGAAAAAGGACAGCAGTAGTATGTTTTTTTGTTTCCTCTAGCAAATCTACAATTGAGTAAACAATTTAAAGAACTAGCACATGGAATTTTAGAATTTCTAACGTTCAATGTTACTGTAGTTGAGTTGTCAGGAGAACTTCAGGCCTTCAACCATCAAAGATTCAAGCATAATCTAAAATCATATATGACCAGTCATAGCAAGATTAATACCTTTGGGTGGAGATCTCTGCGGGAGATTTGGTCACATTAATACCACTTCTCCAGTTAGATGGTACTATGAACGTTCCTGCTCTTTCAACCTCCAGTTGCTGAAGTAAAAAATCAAATAAGCTGTAACAACAACCTTGTTGAGTAACTTTGTACCCTACACTCCCCTTTCTTTCATAATGAATTTGGCTGGTGATTTCTCTGGCCAAACAAAATAATAAATGATCTCCCTCATTTACAAGAGCCAGGTAGACAGGCATCAAGAATTAGCAAATTTCTGCTCCACTCGTTGCAAGGATTTACACTCTGCGAGATATTGCTGTAAAACCCTGGAGACTTCACAGCAAACTGACTCAGTTGCATATTGGTCAAACAAAAATTTGTATCTAAAGATTATCTCGAACTCCTCTTGCTGAAATTCATTAGGAAGGATGGTCCTCCAATTCATTGATTTTCCAACAGAACAAAAGCCATAAAGAAGTGAAAGGAAGGTGATAGGATTCGGCACATAGCCCTTTTTAGCCATCCTATTTTTAAAATCCAATGCTTCCCTGAGCATATTATGTCTACACAGGCTGAAGATGATGGCATTGTATGCTGAATTCCTTGGATCCCCTATGTCAAAAACCAATTTCTTGAATACGACTAAAAGGGCATCCTTGCCATGCACCTCACTAGTGTTGCAGCAAATAGAGTTGATGACACAAGGGGTACAACTAGTGAGCCCATTGACTAGATAATGTAAGGTAACATCATTAGGAGAACAATGGTTAAGCAACATGGTTTCAAAGTACAAACCAGCTCTGAGTACTTTGTCTTTTTTAAACAGACTACCAATTAGGATGGTATAAGTTACCACATTAGGAGACAGAGCTTCAGCCTGCATATTTGCAAACAAGCCTTCTGCAGAGTCTGTATCACCTGTCTTACAGTATCCATTTATTAATGAAGAGTATGTAACAACATTTGGCTTGCATTTCCGCTTGATCATATCACATAACCACCTTAGAGCTCCATTAAGGTTACCTTGTTTAGCATAGCCACTAATAACTGTGGTATATGTAAACTCGTCCGGGATGCACCCAACCTTTCTCATGTTGCTCATGCATAGAATTGCCTCGCTCATCATTCCAAACTGACAATAACCTTTTATCATGGCATTGCAGCTAACAATGTCAGGGCGGACACCCTTGTGTTCCATGAATTCGAATATTTTCCTTGCATCACCAAGATTCTCACTCCTAATGAACCCATCAATTAATGTGGCATAAACAAACTCATCAGGTTGGACATTTTTCTCAAGCATCTCTTCAAGAATGTTCTTAGCCGCAGGAAGCATGTGTTTCTTGCACAAACCACTAATCAATACATTGTATATGTTAACATCTGGGAATACCTGTCTTTCTGTCATCTTCTCACGAACAATCAAAGCCTCACTGACTTTGCCAGCAACTACAAGACCATGAATTAGTGCTCCAAATGTGACAACATCAGGAGTATGCCCTCTGCCCATCATTTCCATAAGCAAATCTGATGCAGCCATCAACTCCCCTCTCATGCAGAACCCATGGATCAATGGAGTGTAGCTAAGCTGATTTGGGTTCAACTCCCTCCTGATAGCCTCCCTCAAAAAATGCTCAGCCTTTCGAACATGCCCTTCGTGGCAAAGCCCAGTTATCAAAGTATTAAATGTGATGATATCTGGGTCACATCCACTTGCAAACATCTGCTTCAAGATCACCATAGCCTGTGTTGCAGACCAGCATTTGCACAAAGCATCTATGACACTGTTATAAATCTGGACATTGGGGGACAATCCCCTTTTCCTCATCTCCAAAAATAAACTCCCAATCTTCTCTAGATCACCCTTCTTCCCAAGACAATTTATAAGAGAACCATATGTCACAAGGGTTGGCAAGAATCCCTTCGCTTCCATCTCTCCCAAGAGCAACAATCCTCTACCCATATCCCCACGCCGGCAATACCCATCGATCAAGACGTTATAGAACACCACATGTGGAATGCACCCAGCTCCCCACCTTGCTTCAATCAATTTCAACCCCTCTTCCACGCGCCCTTCCAGACACAGCCCACGAACAAGCACACAAGTACTGTAGTTATCCGCACCACTATCCTCGCCAAGCATTTCATCATACAGCTTACGGGCGTCATCCCAGCGCCGCTGCTCCACCAGGAGCTTGAGCAGACGGTTGCAATGGGTCACCTCCGGGAGCGAGCCGTACTGCTCCCTTAAGCGCTCGCACATATCTGTGGCCTTTCCAAGCATGCCAGCGTCGGCGTAGGCGGCGACGAGCGCGCCAAGGCAGGCGCGCGTGGGCGCGGCGCCCGCGAGAGACATGGACTGGAGCGTGTCATCCACGGCGTCGAAGCGGCGGGAGCTGGCGAGGAGGCGGAGCAGGGCGGAGTGAGCGAGAGGGGTGGCGGGGCCGGGGAGAGCTTCATGGTGGTCGGGGGACTGGGACCAGGAGAGGAGCGCGAGGGCGAGGTCGGGGTCGGGCAGGGAGGAGACGGCGGCGGCGAGGTGGGCATCGGAGAGCGGGGAGGGGAGCAGCGCCGCGAGGGACCGTGCCCAGGTGGGGTTCGTGGAGCGGGTGGCGAGGACCCCGGCGAGGGAAGCGGCGACGGCGGGGGAGATTAGTGGGTTTGGGCTGTGGCTGCGGCGGAGGCGGCGGCGCGGGAGTGGGGTGATGCGGGGCAGGAGCCTGGACATGAAACGCAGACGACGCGGCGGCGACGGCGACGGCGGCGGCGGCGGGAGGAGGAGGAAAAGCGGAGGCGAGCGGCGGCGGCCGGCAACCGATGGGCCGGCCTTAAAACAGCCGAGACACCTGACGATCTGAACGCAATCCCAACCGTTCAATTGCGATGCTACAGTACCGAAAAGATCATCCAACGGCAGGGAGCCGCTCCTCAGTCTAAGGGACATCCTAATTAGCCATTTCTCCCTTTTTTGTGATTGATTTGCAGATTGATATACAGCTAACTCGACGAACAACGAGTAGTTCATGATCAATTCATCATGCTTATTAAACCGAAGAAAATAGAAATAAAAAAAAAGGAAAAATGTTTCAGATTTCCAGTCATATGGGTAATTGAATCACTGAATACACTGACAAGATGAGTCGCTGTTAAATGTTTCCGCCTAATGCCTAATGTTAGGCAGAGGCTCCATCGCCGCCAAATACGTTCTCCAGAAAGCCATTTTCGCTGAGATGGCCGACGTCTCCACACCTCTCAAGGATCCACCGGCCGGTGACGCCGGAAATGCGGAAAATGTTCAGTGAAGTATTGGGAATTTTCCTGCGAATCGACCTGTTGGGTGGATCAGTGTGCCGGCAGAGTTCTAGTATGGCAGCACCATGGCCGACAACAATCACCCGCTCCCCTGTCAATGCAACATTAGCAAAACATCTTCAAGGTTCCAGGATAGCAGCTTGTCAGGATAAGGTGTACAATGGCATACACAAATGAAATGGAGTAAAAGTTCGATTTTTTTTTATGACAGTTTGATACTTACCGATATGATTCTGAGCAACTTTGTTCAGGTAGGAGATGCACCGCTCACTTAACTGATTAAGACTTTCTCCACCACCCTAAACATCATTTGAAACAATGATAAACTTTTCAAAAGTTATATAGTACTAGTCTATCTATCTATCTATCTATTATATACTAAAAGTCCATTAAACTTCCTACAAACGCTCTTAAACCGCCACGTGGGACTCCTAAAAACGCTCCTAAATCGCCACATGGCATTCTAATATATTAGAAATATCTAGCCTTTAATTTTCACTTAAATAGGTGGGTCCATTATTTTAGACCATTAGATTAGCTTAGATTAAAAAAAGTCAATTAGTCCTCCCCTCATCTCACGAGCGCATATGTACGCCCCAATGGCACGCATGTAACATACGTGAAAGTGTGCCCCACCTTTTTTTTTACTCCCCCCCAAACTTTTACAATATATTTATATCACCTCATTTTTATGCCATTGGTATTTTTGAGCGTATATTTGCTGAAACCACAAAATATTTCAGCAGGTTGTTACATAGACAGTCCCAAAATAAATCATTCGATCCTCGATTTTCATGTTAAATCAGATGGACAAGTTATTTTATACATTAGATTAGATCTATAAAAAAAAAACCATCCAAACCAAAAAGAATATCCTATGTATGTATAAATATATAGCACTATTCACGTGAAAAAAGCCAAAAAGAATCTTCCTGTGTACGTATACTTACTCCATTATATTATTCACCGAATAAAAATATTTTTATTATATGAGATATAAATTGGTGAGTCCATTATTTTAGATTTAGATTAAATTAAAAGAAGAGTTAGTCCCTCCCTCTCATCTCACCCGCGTGTACGTACACCTGCTTCATCCCGTTTGTACCCAGGTAAGGTATGTGCCCTCATTTCTTTCCCTCCCCCCATTTACCCCTTTTTTACCCTACAACCTCTACTTTTTTAGATGTTTTAAATAGTGGGCTAAGCCATAAATAGTGGGCTAAGCCATTTAGCGGTTAGTTCTCAAACAGATATAGCGGCAGCTATAGCGGGCTAAATAGAGCTATAGTGGCTAAATTGTACATGAGAGCAAATAGCTAAACCCTTTTCAAACAACTATAGCGGGAGATTTAAAACCCTGCTTTTTTATGCTATTGACATTGTTTGAGTGAGTGTATATTTGATCATTCATCTTCGTATTAAAATTATGTAATTATAATAGGAGATTCTAGAAATTCCGACCTTCGATTTTTATTTAAATTGGTGAACCAGTTATTTTATAGCATTAGATCACATCTATTAAAAATATTTCATATGTACATATGTTGTACATATGAATACATAGTACTGACAAGAAAAAAAGCCAAAAAGAATATCTTGTGTATATATGTTACCCTCCTTAAAAAAAATTGCATGGATTTCAAAGAAAATGAATGGCCTATATTAGAGGGCACCTAACCCCTAAACTTCCTACAAACTCTCTCAAGCCGACACGTGGGACTCCTAAGAGCATGTACAATGTAAATGCTCTAAAAACGCTCCTAAGTTGTCACATGGCGTTATAATAAATTAGAAAAGTTTATTGATTTTCCATTAAATCGGTGAACACATTAATTTTAACCATTAGATCTCTCTAAAATTCAAAATTCCGGTAGCCAGCACGTACTCCCTCCTAGCCACCCTCCAACTCTTCCCTTCTCTCTTATTTTTAGCTAACTTTTTCTATTATTTAGCTAACATAGATCTATCTTAAGATTTTGAAATTACGCTCATCTGGAAAAAAGAATCACGTGTAGAAAAAGTCCTCTATCTCTCCATGGACGTGCACGTACATATGTACCTACCCTCTTTGTTTTCTTTCCTCTTTTTTTCCCTTCAGGTTAGATGAGATAGAAAATCAATATTCGTATTAAATATATTTTAAGTTGTAAAAATACACTCTAATAAATTAGAAAAACATCTAGAAAATGTGAGAAAAAAAACCTAAAATATCTAGCCATCAATTTTTATTTAAATTGATGGATCTGTTATCTCCGACCATTAGATTAAATCCTATTAATAATCTCTCTCCTAATCTCCCTCAGCGCACTGACGAGAGAAATGTACGTACGTACGACTTGTAAAAAAGCCGAAAATACATATACAATTGTAACATACATTTAAAAATATAAAGTGGAAAAACATAAAAATATAATTATGTCATTAAAAACGTGCATTTGCTTCCTTCTTCTTCCTTCTCTTCTACATGTATAGACGAAATTGTAATTATTAGGAGTGGTAATAAATTTGAAGAAATTATAACTTCATAAACATAGATTATATATATCATCTATATATGTCTAAATTAGCTCCACAAATTTTTGAAAATAAATTTTATAAAACTATATTATTTTACCCTTTATATTAACAATATAATATATTTTTTACTTAAACCGATGTATCTATTATATCAAATCATTATTTTATATCAAAATTTTAAAAACATGTTGTTCAATATAAATGTTACGCAATAATATTCTCTACCAGTAAATTGCCAATTTATGATCTATATTAACTAATATTTTACATTAATTACTGAGCCCACTATTTTATATTATTTTTAATAAAAATATTTTGACATCGGTTTTCAGTTAAACTGATGGACCTATTAACTAGACCTATTAAGGACCTATTAACAACCATTCCATATCTATCTTTTATAAAAGTAAAATGAAACTTCTAAAGACCTCGCACATGTGCATGTTTGCTTTCTGCACGTATGACGAAGCATCGTACCTAAGGCAGCTAAGGTGATCCGATAAACACTATTCATACCAATTAAATTTATATAATTTTTCTCTTATTTCAAACAAATATTTTTCCAAAGAAAACAAACAAACATGAGAAAAAGAAATAAAAAGAAAAGCTTCAAACAATTGCTGATATTTTGCACTACCCAACCAAGCAATTCTGCAAATGATTTGTGTCCTAACAAAAATTCTTTAAAACTTTAGAAAAGAATATGAAAATTTTGAACTTCTACGAAGGGAAAAACAATCTAACCGTTAATCTATCCTTAATTTGGTTGTCACTAAATCACGCATCTTCATGAGACGATTCGATCACAATAACTTTGAGTACTTGCTATCGCAATTTTTACTTGTAGCAATATTGTATGGTATGTGTTCAAATAGTATACATGATATTTACTTTTCGCAAACGCGTATACATGATATTTACTTTTCGCAAACGCATATACATGATATTTACTCACTCAGTCAAAAGTAAATTCAAATGTCATATGACCTTGATCTATCTTCTAAGTCAATGAATATGGTTTTCAGATATATCCAACCTATGATTTGCCCTTATAAGATATAATTTCTAAAGAAATTATAATATTACGTTATGATAGTACGGATGCCCGCGCATCGCGTGGGCCACCTTCCTAGTGCTACAAAATGGTATACACTCATTCCACTTCTGATTTGACAGACCTAGACAAAGTTACATTTCTCGGGTTATAAGTGTTCCAAAGAAAAAATACAGTTTGGAACTTACCGGCAATTCGTGGTTTCTGTCATCAAAGTCCAAACCATTTTTGACTTCAAAATTAGCGAAGCCTTTGAAAACGCTTGGGCTTTTATTCACAGCATCATCCCACATCAAACCTTGCAGATATCCCATGTGCCTTTCTCTTAGTGCTTCAGTCAACATTAACTGAAACAAATTATTGGTGTTACTCATGGAGGAGCAGGCAGGAAAAAGCAGGCTAGAAGAACTCACGTTTGATACATCACAGGCTTTCGCTATGATTTCTGCAGTCTCAGCAGCACGCTTCAGATCAGACGAGTATATAGCAGCTGGCCTAGCTTCTCTTGCCAGACGACGAGCCACCTTATAAGTTTGCATCAGATCGATTCATTCAGACAGAAAATGTCAAATTAAACTACCAATGCTGTATAATATCATAAATCCACATATTGGTCGGTTCTGGTTTGAAATTTTGAGCAAGTTTGTTGATAAAAACAGTAAATTTTGAGCCAGTGTGTATCGTACCACAACAGCCTGCTGTTTTCCAATCTCGTTCAGCTCTGGATCCATTTGCCCCTATTGCTGAAGTACAGTGTTCTATCAGGAGTATGTATTTTCAGTTTTCCAACACTACGAGAATCGTCAGAAGGACAAAGCAACAGATGCTTGGTGTTGGCTACCGACCTGAACGATGCGGGAGGCGTTCCACGACGTCTCGCCGTGCCGGACAACCACCAGCTCCACGAACCGATCGACCTCCTTCGCCATGGTGACAGCTGGCACCTGACCGCCGCGGCCGCAGGCGAGAGGGAACAGAGGATACCTGACAGCCGCCGTAGCCGGCGAGATTGGGCGGAGGGTGGCTGCTAACCTCAGCCACCGGCGACCAGCAGGTCCTGCGGCCTGAATTCTTGGACGAACTGTGCCTCGCATATGTCCTCCCGGACCACACGTAACATCAGTTATCGGGTCATTTCAGTATTTGTAACCACTAACCACTATCCAAGGATGGCGACGCAGTACGAATAAACAAAATCTGATGAGTGAAAAGCAAGAGACCACGTTTTCCTCGTGCACAAACCCGGTAAAATCCACTTCTGAACACAACCGTACAAGTAAAGTGGTAACACGCCACCGATAGAAGTTTTTTTTGGAAAGTACCGGCACAAAACAGTGTGAAGATTTTATATTGATATATAGTAGCGAAAAATTACATGGTTACAACCCTAAGAGATTATAACCAACACCACTACCTGCTATTAGCTCCTCATATAACCGAAAATAAACTGACACCGAACCAGTCGTCGCTAAGCGTGACCGATTGCCGTCAGACCTTAAGGGGCCGCAACGCCCCACTGAAACCAACTCCACACAGAAGATCGTCGCATGTTCGATCGCCACCGATAGAAGTGATGCATGAGATGAAAGCATTATGATTCCCAAACTATTAGAAGCATGCATATATATAACAAAGTTATATATAACAAAGTTCAAAATTCTTATTGCGATTATGGAGCATACATAACCTCTCGAGGATCCAACGGCCGGTGGTGCTAGAAATGTGGAAGACGCGGATCGAAGTGTCAGGGATTATCCTGCAAACTGAGTTAGTTGGATACTTAGATCGGCATGCCAACAGAGTTCCTCAATAACAAAGGTCGGAATTTCTATTTCATTACCTGAAAAAAACAGAGTTCCTCAATGAGTCAATGCTCGCACCATGGGAGACCATAATCACCCGCTTAACGTACATGCAAAGACCTCGGCGTTAAAATTACTCCTCTCCCGCAGGTTGTGCCTGAGCACATTCGCCCCCGAGCGCAACCACCGCGGGTGGTGCTCGGGGTATGTCCATCCCTGGGTGCAGCCTCCTGCGAGCGGTGCTCGGGGCACATCGAGGCCCGAGCACGATCCCCATGGGAGGTTCTCGAGGCACATCCGCCCCCGGGTGCGACCCCCTGTGGCAAGTGCTCAGGTCACATTCAGCCTGAGCGGTGCTCGGGGCACCTCTCTCTCGTGCTTGGCCTTCGAGTGCTCGGGGAAGTAGTAACGAATGAAGTCCACTAAACTTTGCATTTAATATGAAAGTAACTTTGGGATCGAATCACAAGAACTAAGCCAATCAGAGGGGGTTGAATGGTTGTTATACCCAAAAACCGAAAACTTTTAGCGGAAATAAAAGTTACCCTCGAAATCGATAGATCGCGGTCTGACCAAAGTTGTTGCGCCGGTCTGACCGCTTGATGAACGTCGGTCTGACTGATGTAGATCGATCGGTCGAACCGCCGAGATTGCCTGCCGCCGACTCCTGTCGCCGCCGGTCTGACCGCCGTGTACCCGCCGGTCTGACCGCCGCGGTACCGCCGGTCTGACCACCGGTGAGTTGCCGGTTAGACTGCCAAAACCCGGTGAAACACAAATCGAAGAACTCTCAAAGTAGATGACAACTTTATTGCTTCTCTCTGTGTTTACAAAGTGCACCAACAGCACTCCTTACAAAAATCTCGACTAAACTCGAAACACTAGCTAAACTAGCAACTCAATTGCTCTCAAAAGCGATACAAAAACAATCAAAGGAAGCCTCACGCTCCCCCTCTATTTATACATGAGGTAGGCAGCCTAAAGCCACGAACCAAACTCATACTAAGAGTTCTAAACACCTTAGGAAACCCTCTAGTACAAGAAACAAACTTTGCATAACCAATCGTACAAAATTTGGACTCCTTCCAAATTCGACTCTGCATCCCATACGCACACAATACCTCCATCGTATGTCATATGGAATCTTCACCAACCACGTGCATCAACTCTAGCCTTAGTATCCCACATGATATCTGACCACCATGGACATTGTCTTACCACCAAGCCGACTCCCGGTCCATCACCGCAAATACTCTCCCGAGGCATCGAGTCATCTACACATGAAACAAACAAAGAAACCATATTTCGAGTCCAAGCTATCCCAACTTGACTCATTAGTAGCAAACAACAGTATTACATACGTATAGAATCCATCGAGAAGCCATAACCATGAAACAATCACGGATATCCAAAGAAACAACCCGAAACCGAAACCGACACAGTGTCGGCCGGTCAGACCGCGGGCCTGGCCGGTCTGACCGCACACATAGCGCCGGTCTGACCGGCAACCTCTGCCTGGTCGGACCGGACACATAAAATAACAGAATCCGATCATCACCTGAAAATTGATTATCTCCAAAACCACTTCGACGATAATCTCCAAATATCAAACCAAATAATCACAGATGCCAATTGTTCATCACAGAATAAGGATCAAAACACACTTTGATCTTACAATCTCCCCCTTATGAATACATTGGCAAACCTCATCAAAAAATGTTTTGGTGTTTAGAAAAATAAAAACAAAAAGCACACTTAAAAGAAAGAAATTCCCAATTGAGTCAAAAACATGCTCTTCTTAAAAACTCTTCTCTTCTCCCTTTGCTTGTCCTAAAAATCCAAAAAACCAAAAATTTTTACCTTACTTCTCCCCTTTTTGACAATGATTTCATCGAGCATTGGAATTATGTTCATTAATGTTCAAGAGCTTAGCACACATATAGCATATCAAGTCATGTGTTGCAATAAAAAGAAGATGAACACATCTATAATATAACAAGCATGTATTAAAGTATAACCATGAACCAAAGATTTTACAATTAAGCTTGAATCAACAATCAAAATTCATGATTTCATACGATTTATAATGCAACATCTTAACAAGCACATAGGTTGAAGAATAAACACTAAACACATATACTTATTGCATTTATCACTCTTTCTCAAATAACCTTTAGCACAAAATAACCAAGAGAATTTTTTTTCAACCTTTTTTGAGCCTTTTTGCTCATATTTTTTCCCCTTATATTCCAGGTACGTCCCTGTCGTCAAGACTATTTCCAGGGATTCGGCACCCATTATTTTGCTCACATCGAATACGTCCTTATCGTCAAGACTGTTTCCAAGGATTCGGTATTCATTTCTTTCATATTTTTTATTCTTTTTTTCACAATGAGCAATTAAAGCTATTTGAGGACTAACAAGTCAATAAAGCATATATATATATATATATATATATATATATATATATATATATATATAAAGCATTTATAAATCAAACCATATGCTAGCATCAACATTGCATATTTTCTTAATTCAAGTGAAAGAATTAGTGTCATGCATCATCTCCCTTAAAAACAAAATCTAAATCTCATGAAAAAACTAGAATACATACAAGCTATGCTAGAGACAAATAAACCTTCAAAGTATTGCAAGCATGCACAAGAAAATACCATATGTATAAAACAAAGCTCTCTTTTCTCAGTTTTTTCATTGTCATATTATTGCTTGATAAAACCATGAGGTACAAACTCCCCCTCAAAACATGCCAAAAAGATTCACGAATAAGCACTAACTCCCCCTCAAAATAACCTACAATTCTCCCCGAACAAAAATCAAGAAGAAATCAAAGATTTTGAAAAAGACATCCAATTGCCAATGATATCACCAAAGACCTCATGAATTGACATGTATCCACTTGTATTAACAAAAACTACTACCTCAAACACTAGCATATGAAAAGCTAATAATTAAGAAAGTAGAACCAAAAATATGTCAATCCAAAAGTAAATTGATGTTACCTTGAAAAGCAATCGTCATCTCAAAATTGAACACTCATGGGGAGTATGCCGCCAAAAATACCTACAAACGAGAAGATGTCGTGGCCTCCGTGTTGGGGTTAGAAATAAGTAATTTTGGAATCCAACACTGAGTCACACGACCTGTAGAACCAGTAGGTACATATGCACTTACAAAATCAGAACCAGACTTACCTGAAAACTTACCTTGTCGCTTCACAAAAGCCTGATTTGAATTTCGCGAAAAATTGCCCCGAGGCCGGTCTGACCACTGCTGTACCTGCGGTCTGACCGGGCCTGGCAACCGGTCTGACCGCCGGTTCAACTGCGGTCTGACGGCTGGCCGGTCTGACCGACTGGTCAGTGCCGGTCTAACCGTGGTCCTCAAATTAAAACCCGATTTCTGCCAACGTCGTTTTGCAAAAGTAATTTCTCTTTCCTTTTTCTGTTTATGGGCAAGTCTAAAACAAAAACCAACCAAACGTCCATCTTTTCCACAAAAAGAACAAGTGTACATCTCACGACAAGTTTGTGAAGTAGATGGTTTTGCACCAACAGAAGATTTTCCATTCACAACATTTGATTTCGAAGAAGATGCATTCAAAGAAGACATGATGCCAACAGATTTAAACACAATATTCTTAGGTTCAGTTTCAATCAAAATTTCACCTCTCCTAGCAACACCCAAAACAGTAGGAGGATGTCTAGTATGATAAACATAAGGATCAAAACCTAAACCACGATTGTGTGTGCTAACCTTAGATTGATCAAGAATCATGTTGAGATTCTTTTTACCTTCAGAAAACCTTTGCAAAGAACTTTTCAAATAAGAAACCTCCTGAGTAAGAATAGCACAATTTTTGCAAGCATCCAAAAGACCATTTTGTTTTCTACAAGTTGAGCAAGAAAACACCTCATCTTGTTTAACAATTTCTTCCATGTGTTTAACACGCCCTAAAGCATCTTTCAACTTCAATTCATTCAAAACACACTTTGAACAATCTTGAGAAATCAAAACACCATTGTTTTGTTTTGCCTTATTTGCACATGAAGCATTGACCAAAGAACTTGCACAAAAAGCAACTTTGTATTTTTTTCAAAACGTTATTTGTCAAAATCAACTCATCAACAACACGAGCATGTAAAGCAAATCCAAGAGCAAAAGAAGATTCCAACTTTTTAGATTTTTCAATCTCAAATTCCAATTTCTTGCAATTAACAGAATAGACATCTCGCAAAGCATTAATTTCAGAAAATAAAACTTCACAAGATTGACAATTATC